CTGATGCATACGACACAATTAAATGCATGAGATCCCATAGCTTAAAATCATGGGATAAGTTTAACAACATAACAAGCCTATGAATCATTCATACATAATTCATGTCAAATCTTTCATACTTAACATAGCTTACATATAGCTTACATAGCGTGGTGTATGAAGGTTTATGCATCATAGGTTATCAATATCATAAACATGATTCTACAACATGACATAACCACATTACAACATAACATAACATAGCATAGTATAACATGACACAGCATAGCATCACAATCGTAAATCAAGCCAATAGTAGAGTCAATTGTCTAGTTGGCCTAAATCAACGTCACTAAATTTTTTGAGTTGATCGAAGCATCCCATGATCATCAATAGAAATTAAAACGCTATATAATAATCCAAATGTGAATATAATATTAACAAAGAGAGATAGAAAGGATAGAGAGAAGAGGATAAGGATTGATATCATTATTCCAAGCTTGAAAGGAAAATTTTCCTTAATACTTAGCAAAAAAAGGAAACTTCACCATATTCTTCGGAGGGGAAACATCGTTTATGACACAGATGCACATTAGAAGGAACATTGATTCACTTTGTCCACAATAATGCATTACCCTTTATCCACTCACCCTTTTAAAATTCAATTCCTCTCCCTACAAATAATTCGATCATATTCACATATTATTTATCGCTAACAATTGTGTTTGTCTGTTCAATCCGACCGAAAATTTCAGATTGTGAGATAGATTGTAAGATCTTACATCGGTTGAAGAGGGGAACAAACCATCCTATATAAAGGTGTGAACTTTTTCCCAGTAGACACGTCTTAAATTTTTTGATAGAAGTTCGAAAGAAAAAGACCAAAGAGGACGATATCTAATAGCAGTAGGCTTGAGCTATTACATATATTTTTTTTTTCCCATTAGCCAAATAAGTTCAGGGATAGAGATTACATTTCCAATCTCCACTCCGACCTCGCCCCACTCTATCCTTATCCACTTTTATATATATTAATATAATTAGTTTTGTGGTACGTGTATCAAAACTAAAATTATATTTTTTTTATTTAGTTAATAAATAAATTGATAAATTTAATAAAAATAAGTTATTTCGAACCTTTTATTATATCTTTTTCTAATTAAATATTTTTAGATTTATGAAGATATTTTCCATATTAACGAAATTATATTAGAAAATAAAAATTATAAATACAAAATTTCTTTAAATATTTTCAAATATATATATATATATATATATATATATATATAATGGAAGAAAATTTTATACAAAAATTTTCATTTAGATTTAAAATTTAACAAAAATAGAGGATATGAAATTTTAATTTTTTTCAATATTTTCAAAATTAATGAATTTATTAGATAATAATTTAAATTTGTTAGATAAATATTGGTATTAAATTATATGAATGTGACATAAAAAAATTGTGATAAAATAATGAAATTTTACAGATTTATTATACATTAAACAAAAAAAAAAAAAAATTAAATATTATAAATAATTCCAAATGGAAGACAAGTGTAGAGTTTGTCCTACAAAAACCCAACAATATTTGTAGTTATCTCATTGGTGCCTAAATATTCAGATTAACCTAAAAAATAAAATGAGTTTTAATTAAATTTAAAATTAATTTATGTTCTTCCACATTTAGACAAACCCCTCAGGTACATGCACGCGATAACTGTACTCTTATTAACGTGCATTATTATTTTTTTTTTATTTTTTTATTTTTAAAAAGACAACTCTTTTAATTTAAACTTTTTTCTTTTGTAATTATCACTATGTTCCATTTTCATTTTATTTAGGTTCATGTACTTTGCTTATGGTTCTATTTTGGCCTTCTAATTTTTAAATCTTTTTGTTTTTTTCTAGTTTAGAATAAAAAAGTGGTCGTTAGTTATTTAATAATGTAACGATCAAAAACTAGATTTGACATATGCTCACGTTATTTACTTCTCTTTTGTTAGTACAAAGATGTTCCGTTCTCTTCTCCAACTAATTTGGGATCGTGGAATCCCATAACTCACCCCTTTAGGGTCGGACGCTGGTACTCGTTCATTTCTCTAATTGATATGAGACCCCCACCAAATCCACCCTCCTTCAGGGCCTAGCGTCCTTTCAGGGTCCCCCACAAAATCCACCCTCCTTCAGAGCCTAGCGTCCTTACTAGCACTCGTTCCTTTTTCTAATCGATGTGGGACCCTCACTAAATCCACCCTCCTTCGAGGCCCAGCGTCCTTATTGACACTCGTTCCTTTCTCTAATTGATGTGGGACCCCACCAAATCCACTCTCCTTCAGGGCCTAGCGTCCTTTCTGGGTGCCCCTTCTCTAATCGATGTGAGACTCCACCAAATCCACCCTCCTTCGAGGCCCAGCGTCCTTATTGGCACTTGTTCCTTTCTCTAATTGATGTGGGACCCCCACCAAATCCCCCCCCCCCTTCGGGGCTCAACGCCCTTACTAACACACAGCCCCATGTCTAACTTTGATATCATTTGTAACAACTCAAGTCCACCACTAGCCGATATTGTCCTCTTTGAGCTTTCCCTTTCAAGCTTCCCACACTTATAAAGAGTGTTTCGTTCTCTCTCCAACCAATGTGAGATTGTGGGATCTCACAGTTTCTTAGTCGTCGTATTCTCAGGATCACTCTCATTCAGATGTGGTCTTGAATCTTCATGTAACTCTTCTTTATTCAGATGTCACATTTGAAATATTTAACCGTTGACTTTTTAATTAAATACCATTAAAGTACATATTTCTAATTTTCATCCATTTTTGTTTTTATTTCTTTAATTGTCTAAATAGAAAAAAAAAAAAAAAAAGCTTTTGTGAAGTTTATGGACTAAAATGTAAAATCCAACAAAAATTAAGGACTAAACTATAATATTAAAAAACTTAATAGGAAATGAGTATACCATAATCCTTAAATTTACTAAAAATGTGTTGAAGCATTTTTCAATATTCTAATTTGACATTAAAAAAATATATAATATTCCAAATTTTCAACTTATTAAAAATATTTCCAAACTTAATATCATGGTTGACTAAATTCCATTATTGTTAATAAATGAAATGAATAATTATTTAATTATATTTTTCTAGTAAAAAAAATAATAGTTTAGAAAACATTCCAAAATATATTTATAATTATTATTGTCTAATAATTACATAATTTTCAGAATATGATAAAAATAATGGATAAGACCAATAAATTTGTAAACAGCAAACCAACAGGAAAATCTTTAGCAGATACATTTAATTAAAATATTAATTTAATCTGAAAATGACCAATAAGTTGTTGACATTTGGCACAATAGCATAAGAAAGAGAGGGTGGTGCATTTGAAATTAAAAATATTTCATAATTTTTGCTTATTAAATTATTTTAAAAACTACAAAAAAACATTATAATATTTTAAATTTTGTTTTCATGTTACAACTTTCTAAGCTTACAATTAAAAATTTATGATGCACTAATATTTAATATTTTATGATGCTTTTATAATTAAAAAATAATATAATATTATTTTTATTTACCAAACGAGAATAAGAAAGCGTTATGATTTATTGGATAAGTACCAAAAAGAGAAATTAAAGCTTAAATTGCTTTAATAATGTGGATATTAATACGAAAGTTACATTTTTTTTTTCATTTTTGTTTTTAGATTTACATGGTAGAGCCAAAGTCATTCAAGTAGGCTTGTCTGTCTGTTACAGACCAGAGTCATTCAAGTAGGCTTGTCTGTCTGTTACAGACCAGAGTCATTCAAGTAGGCTTGTCTGTCTGTTACAGACCAGAGCCATTCAAGTAGGCTTGTCTGTCTGTTACAGACCAGAGCCATTCAAGTAGGCTTCTTGTCTGTCTGTTACAGACCAGAGCCATTCAAGTAGGCTTCTTGTCTGTCTGTTACAGACCAGAGCCATTCAAGTAGACTTGTCTGTCTGTTACAGGAGCCATTCAAGAGTTTGTCTGTTACACGAGCTATTCAAGAGTCTGTCTGTCTCATTTACAGACTCGAGCCATTCAAGTAGTCTGTCTGTCTCATTTACAGACCGGAGCCATTCAAGTAGGCTGTCTGTCTCATTTACAGACCGGAGCCATTCAAGTAGGCTGTCTGTCTCATTTACAGACCGGAGCCATTCAAGTAGGCTGTCTGTCTCATTTACAGACCGGAGCCATTCAAGTAGGTTGTCTGTCTCATTTACAGACCGGAGCCATTCAAGTAGTTTGTCTGTCTCATTTACAGATCGGAGCCATTCAAATAGTCTGTCTTTCTCATTTATAGACCAGAGCCATTCAAGTAGTCTGTCTGTCTGTCTCATTTACAGACCAGAGCCATTCAAGTAGTCTGTCTGTCTATCTCATTTACAGACCAGAGCCATTCAAGTAGTCTGTCTGTCTGTCTCATTTACAGACCAGAGCCATTCAAGTAGTCTGTCTGTCTGTCTCATTTACAGACCACAGCCATTCAAGTAGTCTGCCATCTTGTGAAGTGAAGATTTGCCTGCTATCTTGTAGAGTGATTCAAAGGCATGATCGAGTTATCTTCTAGAGTGATTCGAATTGAGTTTAGAAAGAGTTTTCTTTAGTCATCAAGGTAATCCATTGTCAAACTTTCCAGATCTAATCTTGTGTTCTTTTAAAAGGACGTACAACGAATCAAGTGTTTGATAACACTAAATTACAAATATTTAAAATATATAAAAGTTTTTTAGACTATAAGGACTAAATTGAAAAACATCAAAATTATTAAGGACTAAAGAATCTATGCTTACCTATCGAACTTCGAATGCGACGAACACAGAAATTAACTTGAAATGCACTAGTGGTGATCGAATCATCGATCTTTGTAGATTAATCACTAGCTATGTTTGGATCGATAAAATTTACAATGAAAACTGGCTCGAATATTAAATTAATAAAAGGATTAAAATTTCATAAATTTTGCAGGTCAAGGGAGGGAAAAACTGCAGATGATACAAAATAAAATATTAATAAACCGAACTCCCTAATTTTCTATTGCAAAAAACCGAGAATAAAAGGCAAGGCGAAGGAAGAAATAGAAACCGCCATTGAAGCCGAGAGGAAGGTCCGAAATGGAGAAATCCGCGATCAGGTCCGCAACAGAGCAACTCTCACAACTCCTCCTCATCAAACCAGAACCTGAAGATCAGAGAATCAACAACGACGGCGAAGATGCTGCAACGACCGCCATTAACATCGTCATCCCTGTCCAACCTTTCATTTCTCTCTGCAATTCGCTCATTCACGTTCTCGGTTTGCTTTTCGTCTCTGTCTCTGTCGATCTCTTTCTGTTTCTCTCTCTCTCTGATATTATCGTTCACGATTGCAGATAAAATCGGGCCGACAATGGCGGTTCTGAGGCAAGAAATTCGTCAGAACATTGAGCGGCTTGAAATGGCGGAAGAATGGGGGGATTTGGTTGAGATTCTGAAGAAAGAGGGGAGGGAAGGGAGGGCGAGGACGGAAAGCAGTTGTAGCAGAGCGTTTCTTTGGCTGATTAGGTCAGTTTGAATCATTTCACTGTTTTCGCATGCAATTCGACATCCATTGGTTAGTTATGCGTAATAATTAAATAAGCTATGTTTGTTAGACGACTCTCCACAATGGTATGATATTGTCCACTTTGAGCATAAGCTCTCATGGCTTTGCTTCAGGCTTCCCCAAAAGGCCTCATACCAATGGAGAGTGTATTCTTACATTATAAACCCATGACCATTCCCTAAATTAACCGATGTGGGACTTTCATCATCCAACAAGTCAAAAATGACTAAGACTCCAAAGGAGTCGAGCCTCGATTAAGGGGAGGCGTGCTTTGTTCGAGGGGAGGTGTTGGATGATGAAAGTCCCACATCGGCTAATTTAGGGAATGATCATGGGTTTATAAGTGAGGAATACTAACTCCATTGGTATGAGGCCTTTTGAGAAGCCCAAAGCAAAGCCATGAGAGCTTATGCTCAAAGTGGACAATATCATACCATTGTGGAGAGTCGTGTTCGTCTAACACTGTTCATAGCCATAGATTCTCTATTTTATAAACCTAAATTATTTATATTTCTTCATAAAAACCAGGTATATATAATATATATATATATATATTATTTAACATATTGAAATTAGTTTCTTTTAGCTGCATTAATAAAAATACACTTATCTTAATTTCTCATAATAACTTTTAAAAAAATTTAATTAACTTTAAATTTTTTTATAAAAAAAAATCCAAATTACTTTAATTTTTTTTTTTTTTTTTTTTTTTTTTTTTTTTTTTAAAGTTTTTAGGATNNNNTAGTACTACCTATATAGATCGAACCGTTTATCAGCACGAAAATACTCATGACCTTTCAAAAATAACCGTAATTTTGTTTTAAGTATTTAGAAAAATGAGTTTATGGAGTGTAAATAGACGGATTCTATTAATATATTGATGGTAATAACTTTTTATATATATATATATATATATATATATATATATATATATATATGATTAAGGATATTAACGCTACTTTTAAAATTTTATATAAATTTTTGAAACATGGTATTTTAAAACTTTAAAAAAAATTAAAAAAATTAATAATTTTTTTTTTAATTTAGTCTATTCTATTTAAATAATTTTAAAATTTCTCGTTTGTTTAAAATAATATTTTGAATTTTACTTTGAATGTTTTTTTAATCAAATTTAGTAAAATTGTAATAATCCTTTTATGTTGTTTTTTTTTTTTTTTTTTTTTTTTGAAAAGTTAACTAGCATTCGAGATTAGCTAAAATGATAATATTAAATTTGGACGATGAGAAGTATATGAACAAAAATAAACGAGTCTCGTACACATAAACTAAAATGATTATGGTGTACAGATCTCTCGATTTCACATTGGCCCTATTGGAGAAGATAACAAGTAACGAGGCTGGGATGAACATGGAGCGAGCAGTCGAGGAATCCTACAACCGAACTTTGAAGGCATGGCATGGTTGGATTTCGTCCGCTGCTTACAAGGTAAACAATCAATTTTATACCATTCTCTTTGTAATAGTCCAAGCTAACCGTTAGTAGATATTGTCCATTTCGGGCTTCCACTAAGTTCTTAAAACGTGTCTAGTAGAGAGAGGTTTCAACACTCTTTTAAAGAGTGTTTAGTTCTCTTCCCCGACCGATATGAAATCTCACTTTTTTAACCTTGTGTATACAAAGTTACATAAACAAAGATTTAAACGGGTTTGGTTGTTGCAGATAGCTCTAAAACTAGTGCCTGATACACCAACCTTCATCAACATAATCATGGAAGATCACCAAAACTACCACACCCTCCTCCATGACATCCACACTTTGATTCCTTTGCTCTCCACTTTTCTCGAACAAGCTCACTCCATTCTGGTACGATAACGACTCTACAACTTTTGAAGCTTTTAAATCTTTAACTTTTAAAAGTGTTTAATATGCTAAATATATGCAGAGATTGTATAACTTGAATCGGATTAAGTCGAAATAGCTACTGAAGACAAGGAGGAGATCAGAGCCGTGTGTTGCCTTTGTAAATTATATTTCATTTATTTGTATTCCTATCTTTTACTTGTTCCATCTTTGGAGAATCCATATCAGAACGGTCCATTGTGTTCTTGCATTTGTTACTTTCCATGCTTTAATGATCTTGTTCAATGTCGTCTTGTGTTCATGGCAACCATTGCGGATGGACTAGCTGACCATTTAAAGTAGATTTAGTCCATTTTTGTTGCTTGTCACACCTTTGCATTGTAGCCTCTCCTCCTCCCCCATTCTCTTTCTACCGATCGTCGACCTTCAACGTTTTCCTCACTTTGTGTTCGTCCTATGATCGTCTTATAGAGCCACACACTTCAGTCCAATTTTTGGACTAACAATTTGCTTCTAAGCAAGACCTTGTTCGAGATTCTTTACTCTGAATAATTCCCGCATCTATAAAAAATGTAACTTTTACTTTGTGCTTGATGATGTCCCCTTCACTACTTTTCTTCAACTTAAATACCCAGTTTGTGATGGAGTGGGAAGTCGGTGAGTGCCCATGTCTTGTTCTTATTGATGGCATCAAGCTCCTTTTGCATGATCTCCTGCCACGATATCTCAGTTGGTACCTCACGGTAAGTTGTCGGATCTTCGGCAACAAGCAACACCAACTCTTTAGGATCTAGCTCTTCTTCAAGAGTATCTACATAAATTTTAGTGAAAGAACGAAATTTCTTTAGTCTACTATTTGTTGTGAATCCTCCTTTGCTCTCACTTGAACTCCTTTTTTTTTTAGAACTCGTCACGTCTTTTAGTGTCACTAGTGATGACATGTGTGGACTTGTTGGTGTCAATGTTGTTGCAATTTCTAGATTTGTCGTGTCTCCCTTGCCTTCTAGAGCTATGAACTCTGCAATAGTTTGTTTATTGTTGCCGACACTACACTCATCCCACTTCTTTGAATACGACATCTTTCTTTGCTAACTTAATTTTTTTCTCATATAGGATTGTACAATCTGTGCTCCTTGGTCCCATCATCTATGCCAAAATACACTTCATTTAGCTTCTAACCATTAAGCTTCTTGATATGTGGTCCTATAGTCTTAACATGTGTTGTACAATTGAAAAACACTCACGTGCTTGAAATGACATTTTTTATCGGACCATGCTTCATATGGGCTGCAAGTGCCCTACACCTTTTTCAGCAAATGGTTTAGAAGATAAACCACATGTCGTATTACCTAGTCCTAAAAAATCATTGGAACTTGCATGCTTTTGAGTAAGTTTCTTGCCATATTCATTTTGATACGATTTCTTGCATTCGAATAAAATGGATCATTTTCCTTGGATCGGTAAAATTAATCCATCCCCAAATTTCATGTTTTCTATGGGCTTCTCATCAAGCTCTTAAACTTTGTTTGATCGTCGGTCATGCGGTTGCTCGCTTCGTTGTTTAGGTACCACATGTTGGTCTCCACTCAATTTTCTTAATTTGCGAGGAGGTTCGCTATAACCTTTTTTTCATTGAGCATCAATAGGTTGGACATGTAACGGCCCAGATCCACCGCTTTTTGATGACCGATCATCTTTGGGCTTTCCCTTTCGGGCTTCCCCACAAGGCTTTAAAACACGTATGCTAGGGGAAGATCTCCACACACCTTATAAATGGTGTTTTGTTCTCCTCCCCAACCAATTATAAGGATGTGGAAACCTTCCTCTAGCAGACGAGTCTTAAAGCCTTGAGGGGAAGCACAAATAGAACAATATCTGCTAGCGATGAATCTAGGTCGTTACAATTGGTAACAGAGCCCAGTTATGGGATTCTGTAGACGGCTTACTGTTGGGTTTTATATCCTATAACTCATAGTTTGTAAACAAAAAACATATTCTATTTTCAATAAAGTTATTATGGTTGTTTATTCAGTAAAGATTGTTATAGAATAAAGTGAACGTTACGATCATTAATCTAAATCCAATAAACTAAGAACACTCTGGCTATAGTATGATTACTTGAACTATATGTAGAGACATAAGAGTTGATCAAGTTCAAGTATATAGTCAAAATGATCTATAGTATAAGGATAAGGCTGAGTACCTTATTCTAAGTACACTATTAATGCAGCCCACTTTTGTATATGATATAAACAATGTGATCATTAAATTGTACATGTGGAGACATGTGAGTGGAGGAGTCCTATGCAATGAGTATTGCATAAGATCGGACCATGAAGAAAATCACTCTCACTTTATAATGTCGTTTACTGTTGAGACTGATTTTCTTTTCATTCGATGACCTAGGTAACTCGATCTTAATCCTGAGCTAACTATGAACTCCTGTTCATTCAGAATTATCCTTAGATTTGCATGGGTGAGAGTGGCAAGTTCGCCAACTCAATAGGCCTCCCATTTCAGGGAAAAGACTAGGTAAATGGCTGGGGACGTGGGGTGCAAGATGGAATTCACTCCTACCCACTTTTAGGAATAGAAGAGAGGTAGTTCTCTTTAAGTACTGACTCCAGGTATTGAACAAGGGGCCCCACCCTCTCATTGGCCTAAGAGGGATCTGATTTACTTATTGGACCACAAACCAATTGTTCATTAGAGGATCAGTAAGACATAAGAAACAAGAAGTAACTTCATGGGTAAAACAGTAAATTGACCCAGCTCTAGTTACGAACAACTTGTGAAGGATCGACTTACTAATCATGGTTATATCAAATGGATAGAAATATATCTATAGTGAGGGGAGTGCAAATACTAGGCTATAGTGGAATGTTCTAGTAGTTAACGAATGTTGGTTAACAAGGTTAATGAGTTTAACCGGTTAATCTTGGATCGTTGGAGCCCATGATCTATTGGTCCATTAGGTCCCTCTGCTAGCTCATATCGGACTAAACCATAGAACAGCGTGACGAGTGAGTTCGAAGTGTTCGAATTCAAATTAGGGAGATTGCGCTACATATATACGATATATTTAACCGCATTTTTGTTTTATTTACGAATTAAACAAAAAGAGAGAATTTGATATATTTAAATAATATTTAATATCTTAATCAAATATGTGTCAGAATTAATTTGGATTGTGATTCGAATTAATATTAAATAATAATTAAATAGTTTAATTAATCATTTAATATTACTTTAATTTGAAATTAATAATTCAAATTGATTGTTGAATCAAAACGACGAAAGTAAAAATGTTGACTTCATTTAATGGAAAAATCTATGTTAGTGGAATTTTGAGGTGTAAAAATTTGGTTTAACCAAACTTGCATGCTTGCCAAATAAACCCCACAAATTTGAGTGGAATTTTGAGTGTCAAAATTTGGTGATCTCAAATTTGCATGAACATGCAAACATGACTCTATAAATAGAGTGATCATAATACATGAAATGTCGTTCTTCTTGGTGAAAAACCTTGAGAAAAACCTCTCACAAACACTCTCTTTATATATTCAAAATTCTTTCCAAGTTTAAGTCACTCACCGGATTCCACAATCCCGTTCTAAGGCCAGAGGATAGTGGAGAAGACACTAGTGGTGGTTCGAAACCGGTTCGTGAGGAAAAATGAATTTGAACTACAAAAGGTTAGTATTCAAACTCATTAAATTTTAATACGTATGAACATGCTAGTTATTTACTATCATTGATGTTCTAAAGTGTCTAAGGTCCAAATTGCTTACACATGTGATATATTAACACCATCACTTACATCGTAAGCTAAAAAATTTCCCATGACTGAATGACAAACCCTTATCACTTCCAAGTACGCTTGACCATAAAATGGAGGAATATGTATTGTTGAATATTGAAATTACGTTGGTAAACATGAGTGATTTTATGTACATTCGTAAGTCAAAATTAGTGGATAATGCATGTTGCATAATGTACGAATATGTATTGTCGAATATTGATATTTTGATTGGCTATCATGGGGTGATTTTGTGCACGTTTGTAAGTCAAAAGTAGTGGATAATACACATTGCATAATACTCGGCTGAAAAAATAAAATTTTATGAGGTAATTAATTGTTGATTAGGAATGAAGCAAGGAAAAAGATGTCAATTAGATAGAGGAGTTTTCGTTGACAGCTGATGGAGGGCTTTTATACCATGGGCAATTGTGTGTGCCAAATGATGAAGATTTTAAGGTAGAGATCCTAACCAAGGCTCACCACTCGCCATTCGCCCTACATCCTGGTAGTACCAAGATGTATCAAGATTTGAAATGACATTATTGGTGGTGGAATATGAAACATGATGTAGTCGAGTTTGTGAGTAAGTGTCTGGTTTGCCAACAAGTCAAAGCCCCAAGGCAGAAGCCAGCAGGGCTATTACAACCACTTAGCATACTTGAATGGAAGTGGGAGAACATCGTCATGGACTTTATCGTGGAATTATTGAGGACGGCCAGAGGCTACACAGTTATATGAGTTGTGGTAGATAGGCTCACCAAGTCAGCTCACTTCCTACCAGGAAAGTCCACCTATTCCGTGGATAAATGGGCTCAGTTGTACTTGAAGGAAGTAACAAGACTGTGTCAGACAGGGATCCCCGGTTCACATCAAAGTTTTGGAAAAGCCTTCAACAAGTGTTGGGTACACGACTAAAGTTTAGTACAACATTCCACCCACAGACGAATGAACAAACTGAATGCTTAAACCAAATTCTGGAGGATATGTTACAGACCTGTTTGTTGGACTTTGCCGGTAGCTGGGACACATACTTGCATCTCATAGAGTTCGCATCTAACAACCATTATCAAGCGACGTTGGGTATGGCATCTTTTGAGGCCTTATACGGGAAGAAGTGTTGATCCCCAATGTGTTGGGATGAAGAAGGAGAACGCAAGTTGTTGGTCCCTGATTTAGTGCAAGCAACTTATGAGACTATCCAGAAATAAGGATTAGAATGCGTACGACCCAAAGCAGCCAAAAGAGTTATGCCGATGTGAGACGAATGGATTTGGAGTTTGAGGTGGGGGACAAAATATTCCTGAAGGTGGCTCCCATGAAAGGCGTTCTTAGGTTCGGGCGCAAAGGAAAGTTAAGCCCACGCTTCATTGGACCATTTGAGATCTTGGAGCAAGTGAGACAAGTAGCTTACCAGTTGGCTCTACCACCTGTACTTTCAAGAGTCCACAATGTGTTCCATATATCGATGTTGTGACTGCACATAGCAGACCTATCGCATGTGATAGATTTCAAACCCATACGGTTGGATAAGGGTTTGAACTATGAGGAAGAACCAGTACAAATTGTGATTAGAGAAGTGAAGACCCTACGTAATCGAGAGATCGCGTTTATCAAGGTATTATGACGGAATCACCAGCTAGAACAAGTCACTTGGGAGCAAGAAGAGGAAATGATGATCAAGTACCCTCGGGCTCATCACAGCGGAAGGTAAGTAACCTAAGCCTTGTGCATTTAAGTGAAGCTTTCGAGAACGAAAGTTTCTTTTTTGGGGAGTATTGTAAGGCCCAATACAAAATAATAATTATAAAAATAAGACTAAGGTCAAGTCATTTTAGCCAAACTCTTAGCCAACCACCAACCTCTTTAGTTTTTGCACGAAGTCAGAGGCAAGTCAGCCACCCTAAGCCAACCGCCGCCCTTCCTTATGTCATCTTCTTCGTTATTTTGACCGCTACCCTCCCTTCTTTCTGTGTCATTTCCTTCCTTAAGCCGCTGCCACCCAACGTTCACGACGTCTCGCCGTCGATTATTTCCTACATCACCCTACGCCTCTCCGCACATCAGAAAACTACCACCCAACACCCACATCGCCGCTGCAAGTGAATGCCATCATCGTCGTTAAAACCAACATTAAGAGGATTAAACGCAGCCAAGATACAACACGGTTTCCTCGCGAGATAGATAGGATTGTAACCAACCTCTACATGGACAGCAGGCTCAATGGAGTGAACCAATAGTTGTAGGAACGGTTAGGAAAGGAGCTCTCTAGATAAATGATACTCCTGTTGAAACTAAAGGTTTTGGTTTTGAAAAAGGGTCGAACAAATTTGTCATATAGTTGTGTGCTATGTAATCTAATTGTTGTGTGTGTGCTGTGCAATCTATCGGTGACTTGATTGTGTTTAGTTGTATTTGGTGATTGGGTTCGATGTGAGCTGTCTGACAAAATATATGTGGGACCTATTGCATGCATATTGTGTTTGTTGGTGGCGATGGTTAAGGAAATTGTGGTAATAGTTACACGCTGTGTGTTTTCAGTAACTAGCCACTAATAGTCACCTTCGGTGATGATTGTAGAAAATTACTATCGAGGCAAGGGTTACATGTTGTGTGTTTCGACTAACTAGCTGTCGATAGTCATTTTGAAGAAATAAGGAGGGGTGTTGATTCTAATGGTTACACGTTGTATGTTTCGGGTAACCAGCCAGGGATAATCATTATAAGGAGTAAAGACCGGCGTTGATTTTATTGTAACAATAATCACCCGCTGCATGTTTCGGATAATTAGCTACTAGGGTCTTCGATTTTGGTTGAATATGTATTTGATCCCAATAGAGAGTTCTTTATTGAGTATTTTAATATTCACACGGTTTTTAAATGGTTTTCACTGTCCCAAGATACCAAAGTCAATTATGGGCAACTCAAGGATTTCATGTTTTTTTATTTGAGTTTTATTTTGTTGGATAAATGCATTTTTGTTCGTTAATTTAAATTATGTTTGAGTACACCTAGTTTATGGAAACTAGGCGGTCACACCAAATTAATTTTAATTTTCAGTTGTTTAAACATTTTAGGCGGCATGTTTTTAACCTTTTGAAGGGTATCCCGCATTTAATTCTAATAAAGGATCGTTTTTGCATAGTTTTCAATAATTTTTAAATAAATCAAATTATTTTTGGTAATGACCCTCACTGCTACTTAAAGGATAAGTCGGGTAGTTACAAATGGTATCAGAGTCAGACACTGGACGATGTGTCAGTATTCTCACTGTTCCCCAAAGGGGGTAGACACAAGGCGATGTGCCAATAAGGACGCTGGGCCCCGAAGGGGGGTGGATTTGGTGGCAATCTCATATCGATTGGAGAAAGGAACGAGTGTCAGCGAGGACGCTGAGCCCCGAAGGGGGTTGGATTGTGATGTCTCACATTGGTTGGGGAGGAGAACAAAAATAATTTATAAAGGTGTGGAAACCTTCCCCTAACAAACTCGTTTTAAAGCTTTGAGGGGAAGCCTAAAGAAGCCAATATCGGCTAGCAGTGGATCTAGGTCGTTACAGGACATCTTCTCGATCAACATCAGTGCAGGTTCTTAGTCATGCATGAGTGTGAAGTTTGCCTCTTTATTGTGCTTCTTATTGTTGCACTCGCCGCATAATTCTTGTATTTTCACAAAAGTAACACTTAATCATGCTCTTATTCTTCTAGAGTTGATATTATCTTGGGTTTGTGAGATATTGTCACAGCCTCTTATGCCACCACGTCCATGACCTCTGCTTTTCATGTTGTGGTCGTCGCATCCTTTCGAACTTGAAAAAAAAGAATTGGCCGCATTTTTCTTTTTCGTCTATGCAAGTCACTCCTCGTGTGTGAGTAAGAGGTGTTTCTCCTCTTCTTTATCACCATAGCCCCGAAGTCTCTCCTCATAGACCTTAAGACGACCAATAACCATCTCAACCGACATATTCTCATTTGGGCAACTTATTTACTAGCTTGTGTTATATATGATCTTCGGATCTTTAAACCTCTACTTGCTATTGAACTAAAAATAATAATAAATTGTTTGCTATTATTATTTTTGTAATTATTATACTAAATTTTCCGACGTGGATGTATCAATGGTATATCTATACACCTTATTTTTAGTACGTTAATCTAACTATATATATTTCGTATATCAGTCATATTTAGGCATACATCTAATATGCTTTATATTTTGTTTATCAATTATATTTGATATACGGTATATTTTGTATATAAGTCAATTGATATACTTAATATGTATTATGTAATAGTTCAAGCCCACCTCTAACCGATATTGTCATTTATGTCATTTTCCCTCTTAAGATTGCCCCAAAAATTTTAGATGTGTCTGTTAGGGAAAGGTTTCCACATCTTATAAAAGAATGATTAGTTCCTCTCTTTACCTGATATGAGATCTCACTATCCAGGAGAACAAATATTCGTGGAAACTTTTACTTAGAATATACATTTTAAAAAACTCTGAATAAAAAACTCAAAAAGGACAATATCTGCTATCAGTGAACTTGAATCGTTACATATTCAAAATTTTATTTCATGTATAAAATTGACGTATTGTAGTAGTTTACATTTGAAATACACATTGAATGAATATTCATTACCTATTGAATGAGTGTTGATAGACAACTATGACACACTTATATCAAACTTAAATGAATTTTGAATGTGTTGATATCTTACTATTATAATCACAAAGTTTAAATGAGTATTGATCCATTTGATTCTAAAAGTAGGAATTAATTATCAAAGATAATATAAACACCAACGGGCAGATGGGTATAGAAATTTCCATACCGTGAGGTGTCGTGGTGTGAGTAGTCGCTCATCTGAAAATCTTTGCCATTTTTTTCCCACTTCATGGATCAGGTGCGAATTTTGATCTTCTTTTTTGTTTGACTCCCCTGTTCTTAGCTTCAAACTCTTTATTTATTTGTTCTATATGGATTTCTAGACATTCTTATACGTAGATCTCGTAATTTCTTCATCCGTTCATCTCAAAATCCATTCATTTTAATGATTGCTGAAGGGATCCCTCCTTGATTGAATCAACCTTCAGTTTTTGCCATTTGGGTATGTTTAATTCAATCCCAAATCGATACCCATCTCCTGGATTGTTCATATCATGCGCAAAATTTCATATGGGTCCTCAAATCCCAAGTCCTTCAATGCATATCCAAGAGGAGGCGACTTCGATTTAGAATCAGGAGGAACCCTAAAAAGAATTCGAAAGCCCAAAAATCCACCAATCTATTTCGTAAGAATGTTCAAATCTATTGGAAATCGTATCCATTACTATTACAAGCTGCATCCTGTTATAGTTTTGTTCATCTGTTTATCAATTGGGGTAACACTTCTCATGATCTTGTCGATGTATGAAAATCATTATCGGATGACGAATTATTACGGGAAATTGAATTTAAATTCTGAGAGATTCCCATTTCCAAAGCTTCGAAATCTTGTAATGGTTGCTGGTCACTCTGTTTATGCAAGTAGTAGCTGTGAGAAAGTTGAGAAGGAAGATTCGTGGGTTTTGGAATCGTATCAGAAGCATCCAGGCCAAGCTGCTACGTTTGTTTCTCATATTAAAGAGGGGATTGAGATAGCAGCGATGGATGATGCGGCTTTGTTGCTGTTTAGTGGTGGAGAGACTAGAAAAAATGCTGGCCCTCGAAGTGAGGCACAGAGTTATTGGGCTGTTGCTGAATCAAAATCATGGTTTGGTAATGCATTTCTTAAATCATAGATACTATACTGTTGTGGATTGTAATATGATTGTGATACATGATTATCTTATAAATTGTTGTAATGTTTAGGTAATAAAGAGAATGTGAGATCAAGAGCACTCACAGAGGAGCATGCCAGGGATAGCTTTGAGAATCTTCTGTTCAGCATTTGTCGGTTTCGGGAGCTAACTGGAGAGTATCCTCGAAACATTACTGTAAGTCGTTTTACTTGAAGAATGTAGAAATGTATACACAAAGGCTTTGAGACATGAGGAGAAGTTGCTAGCTGTTGGTCTAGATAGAGAGGAATGGATTATTCATCTTTTTGTGACACTTGTTTGTGTGATTACATATAGTTCATGAAAATGCTACATTATTATGAGTAATTGATGGATTAAGTATTGAAGATGTAGTGTTATTGCCTGAAGTAGTAACGTGAGATCTCACGTCGGTTGGGGAGGAGAACGAAGCATTCTTTATAAGGGTGTGGAAACCTCTCCTTAGTAGACGTATTTTAAAAATCTTGAGGGGAAGCTTGGAAGGGAAAGTTTAAAAGGGACAATATCTGCTAGCGGTAAACTTGGGCTGTTACAAATGGTATGAGAGATAGACACCAGGCGATGTGTCAGCGAGAAGGCTAAGCCCCGAAGGGGGGTGGACATGAGGCGGTGGGCCAGCAAGGACGCTGGGCCTCGAAGGGGTGTGGATTGGGGGTCTCACATCGATTGGAGAAGGGAACGTGTGCCAACGAGGATGCTGGGCCCAAAAGGGGGTGGATTTTGAGATCTCACATCAGTTGGGGAGGAGAACGAAGCATTCTTTATAAGGGTGTGGAAACCTCTTCCTAGCAGATTTGTTTTAAAAATCTTGAGGGAAAAGCCCAAAGAAGACAACATTTGCTAGAGGTGAACTTGGGTTGTTACAAATGGTATGAGAGTTAGACACCGGGCGATGTGTCAGCGAGGCGGTGTACCAGCATGGACGCTAGGCCTCAAAAGGAGTGTGGATTGGGGGTCTCACATCGATTAGGAAAGGGAACGAGTGCCAGCAAGGATGCTGGACCTAGAAGGGGGGTGGATTGTGAGACCCCACATCGGTTGGGGAGGAGATCGAAGCATTCTTTATAAGAGTGTAGAAACCGCTCCCTTGGAAACACGTTTTAAGAAAACCTTGAGGGGAAACCCGAAGGGGAAAGCCCAAAGAAGACTAGAACTTGAGTCTGGCGCCTTAGATCATGGATGAGTACCGATTTCTCTGCGTAGCTCTAGAAGACTCGTTTTAAAAATCTTGAGGGAAACCCAAAAAGAAAAGCCTAAAAAGGACGGCAATATCTGCTAGTGGTGGGCTTGGGCGGTTACAGAGTTGTTACGGAGGGAGTTAGGCATTTGATGAGTGAATTAGAGCTTGAGAGAGATAGCAAGAGGGAGAGTTAAAGTACCTCGAATCACTTGTTTATATTGTTATTTCTTCATTGACATTGCTATATAGCTATCTTTGACAGTTTCTGATATTTCATGTATGTGGATACTCTGAGAGTACCAGTAAGGGGTATATGGGTTATATCAGTATGATCAAGATCTTCCTGAATGAAGAACAATGATAATTACATCAGCTTCTTGTTTAGTTCGTTTTTGATGTTAATTTGTTAGGATAATCGTTCAGTAGCTTCGTTTTCAGGTGGTAAGCTACGATTTCAAAGAGAAGAGATTTGCAAATCTCCATAGATCTGCCATTAACTTTCCAAAATCAAGGTTCTTCTATGCTGGCACACCAGCTTCAATGACTTCGAAAGACGCTGCTCTAAAGGGCGAAGCATTGGTACGAGCTCAGTTCCAAGACGATCCCTTCGGTTGCCAAGGTTCCCTCTACCGCAAAAAACTCGGAAGAGACCCTTTTCATCGGTCGATACCTTATCCGAACGGCTGCCCTGAGATTGCTGGCCTTTTCAGATATTGCAGACCAGGTCCTTATCCTGGATCCCTGCCGTGGACTAAGTGAGTCTTGTACTGCGGACTCATGAGGTTAGATCTAACATTCTTATTGGCAATACACACAGCATTCTATTCTAATGGATGTCTTCACACAACATTTTGTAGCATATAGTGTTTACATATACTGCTATCATTGTAAGAACCTTCCACGTCTTCCCTATTACTATGCATTCTTATTTGCTATTTTATCATTTTCTATTTATAGCTTTATGTAGTCTAAGTAATATATAAAGCGCACACTCGATCTAGATGAACACAAATAACCAGAGAGAGAAAATGCAAGGAAGAATATTGGCTAAAGGTTTTGTATTGATGACTTTAGGTATACACAGAAAATACAGAGAATGAGAAGAGTACATCTTCGAAGCACTGCCTAAGGGGTATATATATGGTTTCAGTTTACTTATATGACCATCTTCCATATATAGTTTTACTATCTATATGTAACGGCTTAGGCCCACCGCTAGCAGATATTGTCCTTTTTGGATTTTCCCTTTCGAGCTTCCGCTCAAGGTTTCTAAAACACGTCTGCTAGAGAAAGGTTTCCACACCATTATAAAAGGTGTTTCGTTCTCCCTTCCAACCGATGTGGGATCTCATAATCCACCCCCTTCGAGGCCCAGTGTCCTCGTAGGCACTCATTCCTTTCAATCGATGTGGGACCCACCAAATCCACTCCCCTTCGGGGCTCAGCCTCCTCACTGGTACATCAGTCGGTGTCTAGGTCTATTACCATTTGTAATGGCCTAGGCCCACCGCTAGTAGATATTATCTTCTTTGGGCTTTCCCTTTCGAGTTTCCCCCTCAAGGTTTTTAAAACACGTCTGCTAGGGAGAGGTTTTCACACCCTTATAAAGGGTGTTTTGTTCTTTTACCAAACCGTCTGCTAGGGAGAGGTTTCCACACCCTTATAAAGGGTGTTTTGTTCTTTTACCAAACCAATGTAGGATCTCATAATCCACCCCCTTCAGGACCCAACGTCCTCGTTCGCACTCGTTCCTTTCTCAATTGATGTGGGACCCTCACTAAATCCACCCCCTTCGGGGCATAGCATCTTTACTGGCACATCGGCCGGTGTCTAGCTCTAATATCATTTGTAACGATCTAGGCACACCGCTAGCAGATATTATATTCTTTGGGCTTTCTCTTTCGGGCTTCCCCTCAAAGTTTTTAAAATACGTCTGTCAAGGAGAGGTTTCCACACCTTATAAAAGGTGTTTCATTCTCCCCCAAACCAATGTGGGATCTCATACTATAACAATTGAATAAGCCATAAATAGGCAGCAAGCTTCGTATCGTGTTTATTAGACAAAAGTTAATTGATTTGGCATAATAGATGATACAACCAGTGACGGAGATTTGAAACGTGTCGGTTTATTTTAGTTTAAATCATTAGATCATGGATACAATAGTAGTTCATTCAAAGGGTTTCCCATATCATCCCAAGTTCTCAAGCATCGGGCAACTCGAGAGTTCCTTCCCCTTCTTCTCTGCAGAATCATCCATCTTAGGACCCTTCACAAGAGGTCCAAGCAACTGAGCAGGATCATAAAACTGCTCCACCTTCACTATCTTCTTATTCTCATCCAACTCTAAAATTCAGAATTGAATATGAACACTTGACTGTTTAGTATTATGATGAAACATCAATCACTGTTTGATATTTACCTCAAAGATCCCAATGCCATACAACTCAACCAATTCACCTGTAGGAGCATGTCCTTTAGAAGGACCCTCCTTGTAAGCCCAATGCCTAAACTTATACACAATCAACGGTGGCCCCGAGTAAACCTGCACGATCTCGAGAGCAAACCCACGTGGAAAAGTCGTCGTGAAAAGCTTATTAGATGTCTCTGCTGTTTCGTGTTTCGGGTCGTATAATCTGTACTCTGCAGGAAGAGAGGTTTGAAGTGCAGCATTGTACCCTCCCCCTAGCTTTCTTTTCTCCTCCAGAGTGATGGGCTTCCTTCCATTTAGACTGAAAGTTACTTTGTTGGGATCCATTATTTTGTAGTCCTCTTGCTTTACTTTGTTGATATTCTCCACTTCCCAATTCTTGACCAAGTTTTGGACCTCTTCCTCCAGTGATCCAGGAGGCCAAATCTTGATAATTTAGTGTCAACACTAAAATAGATATCAATAGAAAACCGCTCGATATCGGAAGGTATAAGCGAGGGATTACCTTAGTTCGTCCTTCCTCGAAGAGCTTGTTAACGCCTTTGTAGTTCGGAGGAGCTCCAAATCTCCATGTGGTGTTCTTCTCGACGTCCCCGTTCAATAGCCATCGATAAGGATCTTGTTTAGCTGCAGGGGAAGCCATTGGTTTGGTGCTAGACCCAATTGGTGAAGAAGCATATTATGTAGTGGTAATGAGAGGTGTTGTTTTGGTTTGTTTGTGTGATAAATGAGTCGATGAAGAAAAGTTGATATGGCCAATAAGTTTTGATGTCATTGACAACGTCATATTGACTTGTTGAAAAGTCTCATATGATAATTACTTTTCGAAGTTTGGTCGAACTATCTTTCGAAGAATTTTGGCAGCCCATGTGAGAGAATCGACAAAATATTTTCAACTAAGAGATTAGAGATTTGAATTTAGATTCGATCCCTGATGGCCCGTGCTCAGGATTTGGAATTTGAATTTGATCCCTGATAGCCTCGACATTTCTATGCATCCTTTACTACATGATCACATTACTAGGAGAGGTATCGTTGTGATACCATTTGTAACGACCCATGTCTAAAAGTTGTTTAAACCTTTTTTAGTCATTCTATCCTCAAGATAGCTCTTATTCGAATGTGTTCTCGATTCATGCACATACCCCTTATTTATTAAATTTTAGAACATTGGTTCTCTAAAAAGTGATTCCTAAGTGTATATTTATAAGTTTCTTTATCTCATAATATAGAAATTAACTCAGCTTCCAAATTATATACCGTTTAATTCCATAGTATAAGTTTAATCTTTAAATTTTTAAATTTGTATCTAATAGAACTTTGTATCTTATCTCTCGATTATAAAAAGTATTTAATAAATATCTTAATATTTAAACTTTTAATTTGATATATATGAAACACAAATTTTTTATATAAAATTAAACTTTAATAATCTATCAAATACAAAATTCAATTTTATGAAACCTAACAAGTAATCATAACAAATGTGATTCTAGGAAGTACAACGGAACTACGAATTCAAGTGCGATGACAATCTATATTCAATAGCCTACGTGTGCCTCCATGTCGACTGCTACGTCAAGCTGCTTCTGAAAAGAAAATTGAAGTAGTAGAGTTGAGCATGTAAAATATACTCAATAAGCAGTTTGATATTAAGTTGTGTTGATCTTATTCATACGTTAGGTATTTTATTCTCTTTTGGAGATTCGTTCTCCGTATAGTCTCTTCGTAGGTTCTACTTTCTCTTGATTCTCGGTCCTATCTGGACATCCAGCCCTCAAAATATTCTTAAGTTCTCTAGGTCTCTTAGTTAGCCGTTTATGCTAGTCTCTTGTCATCATAATCATATCTCTAAGTTCTTGAGGCGCAACCTGATATTAATCCATAGGGTTCATGCATGCTAAAACTTGATCAACTCTAAGGTGTAATTGTGAACCTCTTTTGCTCATGGCAGGTTCACCGAAAGAAAGCTAACTTGCAAACTTTCTAATAGTCTCCACAGGGTACAAATTATACTATCATAAAGCATCATAGGTCAGTTCTATAGTTATCCGGACCCTTGACAATTGAGTCAGGTTTACAATGAGGAGCTAGTATTGGCAAACCCTTACTGTCTCAATCGCATAACTCACATGCATGAACAATAATCATAACCAACTCGTAAAGTACAGCTGTGGACCCCTATCGCTCGTGACAGGCTCACTACAGGAAGTTAACTGGCAAACTTCACAATATTCCCCACCGAGTATAGTCAAAAGTCATAAAATATCATAAGCCAATTCTATGGTTATCTAGACCCTTGACAATCGAGTCAGGTTCATGGCAAGAGGTTAGTTGGTGAACCCCTAATCGTCCCCGTATAACCGCATACATCATAAACAAATGGAACAAAGACATAACATAGTGATCTAAACATGGTTAACTAGTCATGAATTTCAATTCAGAAGATACTGGGTATGTGTTTAATAAACATGCATAATAACATTCTACATGTATCATCTCAGCTCTTTTTATGTCTAAACATTTATAATAGGCTTCTTATCACATGCTTTGTATCATACTAAAGGCATGGTCTCAATTTCGATCAAATCACAACTCAACAGTTCATTATTCGATAAATTACTCGATAAACATGAATTGTAGCATTTAACGTGCTCTTATATACATCAAATCAACTCATTCCATGCTCAAATTTCTATGATATGCTTCTTATATCATAAATTCATGCATACTACGAGCATAATTAAATCTAAGGTTTCAAGGTACTACTTGGAATGCATGAAACTTTTTGCTTGGGTTTGGGTCTTCCAAAAAGACCCAAATTTACATCTTTCAATTAATCATAGGTTACTGTAAAGTTTATGTTCAAGGATATAAATAGTCGTTTATGGTGTTGTTTTAGCACGAACATTTTGAAGATTAAAACTGTCGTGATCCTAAAATATAAAAACACAGTCAAATAATTAAGCAAACAACACCACAAACAAAACAAAATTCAATTACAAGTTGATGTTGTTCAAATTTTATTACAAATGGAGAAACGAGCATAGGATACAGTTACAAAATGAATACAAAGACCCAAAATAAATATAAAAAAATGAACTAATGGTTCAAAACGCGACTCCCTCTGTGATTGCATAGCTTTCAAACACTCCTCCACCTCCACCTACAACCTACAAACATCTGGAAAAGAAAGAGGAAATGAGTGAGTATAAAAATACTCCGAAAGTAACCTTAGTATAAAATAATGCTTAGTCTAGTAGGTACCCATGGACTTTACTTTAGGTTCTATGAAGTTTTAGCCTAGTCTCTATAGCTATCTGGGGAGGCCTCAAATATTCGAGCATATCTTTAGTATGAATCTTATCCTTAGGGGCCTGTACAAGTTTTCTAACATTTTTTGTATGAATCTTATTCTAGTGGGATAGTATGTGGTATGAATCTTATTCTAGTGGGATAGTATGATATTTGCTAGCCTGAACATCATTCAAGAGAGGTTAGCTAGCGAACT